AATTATAATCTGCTCCCACTATCACTGAAATTACTATATTTTACTACTTCATGGCAAGCCACATCATAGCTCCTGGGGATTCAGATGAGTACAGAGAAATGTTTAAAGAAAACCTTCAAACCCCAAAACTGCAGATAAATATGCGAACCCTACAGGTTCTAGAAGTAAAAGCAAATTAAAAGGGTTCAGATTTTTAAATGTGTATTCTTTTGAAGCAAAAATCATTATTTTGGATGGTTAAATTTTGAATTCTGGATTAATAGTAAAAGGGCTTTAATAGTACCACAATCAATATTTTCTGTGATGCAAAGGCAGGAATGGAATTTCGTGTACTGTGCAAAACTGCCATCTCAGTGCTGTTTGTGCCCCAAATTTGGTAAGGAGTATGAAAGATCCAGCTGCACCAAGCAGACCTCAATGAGTAATTATCAGTGACTAAGTGTTCAAGAATCTTCTAAAATCAAAGATCATCCTAGAGCTATTCCCTCATTTCTTGACTACTCTTTCAAGAGAAATTAGAAGCCACTGGCAGCTGTTAGAGATTATTCTTACACTTGAGGCTTCTCTAAGCATGCCAGACTCTTGGATATCTGGTTTGGGAAACAGCAATTTGCAGCTCTACACACAGCTGATTTGAGAATCTCTGTCCAACTTTTAGGTAACTTCATCAGAAATTATCATAGTAGCAAATAAATGAGATAGTAAAAGGATGCCTTCATTGAGGACATCTGTACTCTTGGTCATCTCCCATAGCTGACTTTAATTTATGAGTACGTATTAAAAACTAAGTATTCATACATAGTTTGTGTCTCAAGTCACAAGGCACACACAGCCATTTTTTAGGCAATTCAAGTCTTTTGGATTGTAAATTGAGGGTAATAGCAGTTCAGATTCTATGAGCACTGGCTGAGCAATCATTAACAGTCCTAAATTTAAAGCAAGTTCAGAAACTTAAACATAAGTTTTCTGGTAACGCTGTCACTGAGTTGCAACCTTGTCAATAGCAATGAATATTTTAAGTCAGAATATTTCTACAGAGTCTCAGATGAGTTATTTGTCTTTAGAAGCAGCATCTTAATCTTCAAACTAAGAATAAAACCACAGGTCTTTTGAGGCTGATGGTAAAACTCCAGATGGGTGCAGAATTGCAACCTGCCTATAGAAATGGAAAACTGCTTCAGACTTAACTCAGAACCTGCAAATCTAATCCTGATATTTCTGTCAAAGTTACTGGAGTCTTAAGGATCCTCACTATTGTATGGCATGTAGTTCACCATCTCTTTTCTGCATATCAGTGTGCAATATGTTCAGCAACTGTAAAACAATAATCCAAAGGTTTTCCACAAAGATGTTCTCCAAGTCCACTATGTCATATAATGGACATCAGATTTTTGGCCTTGCAAATCTCAGCCTTGAAGACATTTACTATGTTGGTTGTTTTTGGCAGTTTGGTTACGGCAGAATTACTGTGAATACAATAATGTTTTCAGCATTTATATCCTTCATATCCAGAATATCACAGATAGTTAGAAAAAAATGATAATGCAGGCAGGGATTGCAGAAACATAAATCATGGAAGCAACCAACAGCTTATTCAATGATATGTGACCTATGAAACTTTTCCTTCCATAGAGACCCAGGGTTAATGCTTCTTAAACATCCAGACATGGTGTCTTTGCTGTTATTCCCTCTGCAGACATTATCAATCCCATGGTCTTTGGAGGCAAAATGTACTGACTTGTAGAGGGTTTGATTTGGACTGTAGGAACCTAAGAAAATTTCCTGTTTTGAAAACAATGAACCAGAGAATAAATCTAAAATGAATCCACGTGTAAAATTCTTGATGATATACATTTGCCTATATAAATCTGCTAGCCATCACTTCTTCCTGCCAGTAATCCATTAAGAAGAATATAAAGATATACAGTCCTACATACACTTAATAACAAATATAAGAGTACCTAGCTGATGTAATAAAATGGTGTAATAAAATGTTATCACTGGATTAAGAAAGAGTGGTTACTAGGCTGAGCATTCTGCCTTTTCAATCACAAATATGAACCAATATGTATGCAACACATCACTTCAAAACAGCAAAACTGGACTTGGATACTTCTACTTTGTTAGTTTAACCATCTCCTAAAATCTGTAGTATTGATAGCTATCCTGCTACAATGTAAGAAAAATAAAAAAGAGACTTTTACACAATATTTAGCAATAAATGCAAGTCTAAGGATATAGCTGACATTCCCAAATACACATAATCTGTAGAATACAGTAACGTCTTTGGATAGAGTAATCATTTAAATCTTCAGAAACAACGAATTATTCCATGTTGCTGTTACCGTTTGATGGAGGAGTACTTTTTTTTTTTTTAAGAAAAAACATACAGACAATTTGCTTGTATGACCATTAGCTTTAGAATAATGCAGTTCCAATAATTTCATTTATATTGGCACATTCAAGAAAAAGTCAGCTCTATACTCGAAAAGAACACAGGCAAGGCTTACCTATAAGTGATCTCTTCCTGAGTGATTTATGTCACTGCTCTTGGTCACAGAGCAGATTTAACAAACAGGCAGCTCAGTCATACCCAGGGCTAAACAATTCCCTGGGTTATCCTAGGAAACCTAACTTACCCAGCAGTACAGCAACTCATCTGCCCTTGACAAACTAATTTTGTCAAATTTGAGACATTCCACATTTGTAAGGGCAGAGTTCAGTTTGGAGCCCACCTAAACACCACGCTGTGCTTATTAACATGCTGTGAAGAATCGGGAAGGGCTCCTATAACCAAAGTTAACTTCCATTTCTTCTCAGGAACAGCTACCTCTTTTCCACAACTTCTCATGTTAAAGTTTTCTTTGCATTACATTCATACCACATTTCCACCACATTCTTTTAAAACGGTCATTATTTTATTCTGTACCTGCCTCAGGCAGGATGAAATGAATCAACTGCACAGAAGTGATATGGCACGGGCTTGTGACCCTGCCCAGCATCCAATTGTTTCTAATTGATTAGCTCCAGACATAAGCACTTTAATAGCCAAAAACAACACAAGTGGAAGTTATGGTACAATATTGGGGTAAAGTGATTGTGTGTGGTCCATATAGTGCAGCCCCAAGCAACCAATTAAAGAATTAATGGTTATTGGATACCGAAAATATTATGTTAAATAATAAGAAATATCTTTAATGTGCCTAAAATTGTGATATAACACCTAAAACTTAGGAGCAGTAAGGCCTCTTACAAGATGGGGCTTAAGTGCTAATGACTCAAATATGCCAAACAGATTACAATATTTTAAAGGACAATCAAGACTGTAAAAATTGACCTGGATTGAAATGTTCATAAAGCTACTCACAATAGCCTATTGATTACTACAATGTGTTTGGGTTGTTTTTATTATAAAGAAATAAGTGAAGCTATGCCAAACCATTCGTGGAGAAGAGGAAACTATGCCACTACTGGTTCCAGTTCTACAATAAGAAAAATACAAAAGAAAAAATAAAAGAAAAATACTGTAAAAGAAAAAAAAATGGTCCCTTCACAACCAAGAGGCCCCAACATGAATTTGACATTTCCCTTCTCTGACCTTCTATTCTTATCTTGAACAGAACTATTAAGGGAACTTCATATACTACTTTCTGAGTGTTTTATAGGGCTGGTTATTGCAGCATCACTCATCTCCTTGCACACAAAAATACAAGCTGAACAAGCACAGCAAATCAGTAGCTTTTTTGTCCTTGGATAAGAAACACGCAGGCAAGAAGCAGATCCCACTACGGCCCCATCTGCTTGGACATGTGCTGAATGCACTGTTTTACTGCACAATTAATACAAATGTAAACTTTTACTTTCATGGTAAGCCCTTTACTCAAATAACCAGTGTATTTTCATGACTTGCTGCAACCATAATACAAATTAAGGAGGTGTTCATCAGCTGCCAAACGACTCAGAGCACACAGCATGCTCAGCAGTGCTACTGAGGATGGGTTGGAGCCCCATTCCCACTCCCTTAAACCCCAAAGTCCACCCTAAATTCATCGTAGCTTACTAAGTTGTCTAATACAGTCTCCTCAGTTCTTCACACTCCTCTTGAATTTACTTTTGCCTGTTGTATTACTCTTCAATTCAAAATTCTTCAGGATGTTTATATGCTGCCCAGCACATCAGGTTCCAGTTTTAACCACCATTTCTCAGCATTGCAATAGCACAAACAGTACACAACACTATTGCAGCAAACACTACTGCAGTAAACAGCAACAATAATTTCATATAAAGACTTTATTTTTTTGTCAAAAACTCCTACAATGCTTCAAAAACCGATGCTGTTTATAAAAAAAAAAATATTCTCCAGTTTATTCAGTCATCATTTTCTAAGGATCTCTGGATTTTGGTGTATTTAAGATTGAAGAATCCTTGAAACACTCTGTGCTGTGGGAACTATCAGTACAGAGAATGACATACTATAATAACATCTCTGCTGCATGCCAGCACACCATATTTCTTGAAATACTCACTTCTTGGAACTGATTAGGCTCATGTGTCAGGCAATAGATCAGTTGGCAGCTATGGTTTTCCTCCATGGTTCCTGTACTCACTGAACACTTAAAGCACAAACCTTTTTGGACCACCTTCTGCAGACTTCCAAACCCTTGTCACTTACAATATCTCAACATTTATCAGGTGCTAAACGCCTAGGGGCAAAGAGCAGCTGTGCTGCCTAGAAAGACCCATGGCATCACACATCTGGCAAGATCTCCCTTTGGTCCCCATTTGTAAAGTCAGGTACAATATTACTAGTAAGAGAAAGAATATTAATTTTCCACATAAATGTCTTTGAAAGATCAGTGAAAGGAAAACCTCATTGGGAGTCTTTTAATCACAGTGCAGCTCCTTCGGCAGTTTTCTGTTTACAAACAGAAATCAAAGTGTGCAGCAACATCACCTGATAAAGGACCACGCATGACAACAGCGACAAGTTCATTACCTACCTGTAGATGAGCATAGAGGGCAATAGCAAGCCAAGTGAACTCCCAGGAGAGCCCAGTGGCTTTAGGGCTGGCCATCCTCATGCCTTGGGGCTCTGCTGAGAGAAATTGGTTCAAATTACAAACAAAATCAAGTGGGCTCGGCCAGAATTTCAATGACTAAAGCAAACTGGGCCGGCCGTTGGAAGCAATGCAATGCAAACACCGGAGTGCTGTGCTGGCCAGAGGAGCAGGCAGCAGGCGCAGCGCATGCCATGAGCACAGCCTGCAGGGCGAGGCTGTTCCAATTAGGGAACAGAAAAGGGGGAAAATGAAAGGTTTGGGGAAGCTGGCAGTCGTGGACAAACTTGATTGTCTCCTGGATGTAGGAGAATTTATCAAACTGGGAACCCCTCCCATCATGATCTCTAGAAGGTAGAATCCAAGAAGCATAGGGTTTCTGATGTACTTTCCAGCACTTTCACCCACTCAAAGCTGAGCGCTCAGCTCTGAGATTTCAGCAGTCATTTGCACTGCCTTTAGCTCAGAGACTAAGCAATCAGGGCAGAATTCAAATAAAAACAAAGGTTCCAGCAATTTTAGTGATCATCATGATTACAAGGCCAACATGAAATTGTCCATCACTTTTACTAAGACTTCAATTTAAAATTGCCAACAAAAAACCCAACATTTAATAATGCTGCTACAATGTGCGAGTTCCTAGTGTCAATGCATCTTATTGCCTTAGACCATAGTGATGTCAAATTAGTGCAAATTTCACACACACCCTAATACACATGCACACACAAAAAACACTCCCACCCCCTCACTGGTTTGCCAAGCCCCACAGTGAATGCAAACTTCTCCTTCAAATTAAGCACTCCCTCCTAAAAGGTCAGACATCCCAAAGGAAAACCATCTATCCAAACAGTTCTTGCACCTGTCAACTGAACATAATTAAGATTCCTTACAGAAAGAAGTGTTTTATTCCCTCCCTCCAAAAAAAACCAACCAACCAAACAAACAAACAAACTTAAAAGTTCCCCTCCCTCCTAAAATCTTTCCCACTCCTGGATGCTTTTGCCATTGAAAAGTTCCAATTAGCTATAGCAATAAATAAAATTCTTATTTTTTCCCCCTTGGCTGGGCATTGCCGAGAGCCCCAGCTGGCCCAACTCGCCGGGCTGCGGTCCTTCCCAGGTGCCAGTGCCTGGGCTGCACAAGGGCTGCAGAAGCACCCGCGTCGCTTCGCCCTCCCGGAGACCCCTCTAGGGCTACCCTCGCCCAGCACCGCGGCCGCCCCAGCTCGGGCCGATCCCGACCGTGCCTCGCCGAGGGAACCCGCTGAGGACAGCGGGTCGGGAGAGGCTGCCCTGGCCCAGGGCCATCCCCGAGCTCACCCACCTGGAGCGGCGCGGCGGGGAGCGGGCCGGGCACGGCCGGCGCACGGCAGAGCCTCGGCTGTCACGGCCCCGGGGATGCAGCATCCTGCCCCGCCGCCGGCGGCCCCTCCCTCACGCCAGGCTCCAGCCCACCGCCGCGCCCCAGCCGAGGTCCTACAGGCTGCTGGCAGCGGGCCGCCCCCGCCCGCCCGCCCGGCCCCGGCCGGAGGAGCCCGGGCGCCTCCACCTGCGGCGCGGGGCCGCGGCCCGGCCCGGCTCCCGCTCCGCGCCCCCCGCGCAGCCTCTGCCTCCCCGGCCAGCGCAGGCGGGCGGGCGGCCAAGGAGGTCCGTCCTCCCCACCCCCGGCCGCGGAGGCACTGGCGGCGCGCCGATGTCGAGGGCCGAGACCCCGGCAGCCCCGGGACCAAGTGGTTCGTCTTCCCCCGAGGGGCAAAAGCTACCGTGAAGTCAGCCTCCGAATCTGATGCAAAGCAGCTTCCAAAACCGCAACCATCCTGTGTCTCATCTCCAAGTAACTCTCACAATACAGCTGCAAATCTGCTCGCACACCGAGGAGGTCTTTAATCATGCTGCCCTCTACGATATTTTTAGGTTTCCTACTGTAAATCTGACGAGTGTGTCTCGCACGACAGATCTGCTCTCGTTCTCCCTCTGAGCTTCGAGCTGTTAGACAGGAACGCCAAAATCCTCTACCTTTGCGCTACGGCTTCCACTGATATCCCAAGCTTTCGTCGAGTCCGCTACGAGCACCACGTAAAGAAAGGGCTCTGATCCCTGCCACTGAAGTTAAAAATATGCTCCAGTGAACTAAACATAACCGATGAAGAGTTTGTTCAAGTATGTTGCACTGGAAACTTTTCCAATCTGTTTAGGTTTCTCACCAGCACGGGAAGGCGCCTCCTCTATCGTTAGGAACAGAGTGCCCTCTGCTGAAACCAGCCTGCCAGAGACCTGGAGCTGACAGCCTGCGGGAGAGCCGCTCTACCGGCTCGGCCGGGAGCAGCGCGAAGGCTCGCTGGGACATCACAGACCTCGCAGGGACACCCACCTGCCCGGGCTGCCTCATCCGTGCCACTGTAACTCACAGGCTGCTCTGTCTCGGGTTCACCCTGACAGCTGAGGAAAGCTGTTCCTCCCAGTCTGTACATTATTATGATAATAGGCTGTGGAACAGGCAAGAGTGCTGCTAAGAACCCTATCTTCTCTTTTTCTAATACTGGTCAGCTAAAAGTGTATCAGCTTTCTGGGAAGCTTGGCTTTCCGTCCATTTCAGTTGCTACAGTAACTTAAACCCTTGGTCTTTTCACTGTGACTTCAATTACACCCTGCAATTTGTTATCTTCTAAAAAGACATACTCCTGCAGTCAGCATATGCTTCAGACTTGATCACAGGTGATTTTAAAGCCAGAATTTAGCCATTAGATCATCTGATGGAGCAAATCCATTTTCCTGTCCCAGGGATTCACAACTACAAGATGAAGCTGACCCTCATGACCTGACATCTACTTAGGACTGAACACAATCGGCACCATCCTTATTTAGATTATCTCTTCTCTCACAATTATTCACCCTTCAATAGCGAAGCAGTCCCCTGGGTCCCTGAAGCAAAACCTGCAGAGTGAACTATTCATTTGTTTGCTAGATGGGTATATTTAGACAAAATAGTCCTGGCTATATTCCTAACACTGGTATTAGCCATGGAATACATGGAAAGGTTTGGCTCCAAGATTCTAACAAAGTTTCCCACATTGGAATGCTGGTCAGCATTTCATTCTTTTCCCTTTTTTTCTGCTACGCATCTCTGTGTTCTCTTTCTCCTTCCAGCTTACTCTGATACACTCCTTCAATGCTGCTCTTGATCATTTTATTCAGATCAGTTGGTTGTGTGCATTCCTAAAAATAAAGGATAATTGAACATTGCACACACAAGTAGAAACATTGTTCATCTGCAATGAATTTGAACGTAGAAAAGTTGTGTACTAGAAAGTAGCCTAGATTAGGTCTCATCAAATCCAGCAACTGAAGTGAGCCTTCTGTTTACACATACACACACTTAATTCTTTGTGATCTTGGTCCCAGGTTAGAGGTTCTATGTCTGAATTTATACAGCATGTAAGAAAACTGAGTTAAGGACCCACAACACTACTCCCTAGGGACATTTCAAAACCAGCACTACCTCCCAAGGAGATTTCAAAACCAGCATTACGGTAAATAACACAAGTGCCTTCTGCTACCTACCTCATAAAGTAGCAGTCAGCAACATCTTGCCCCAGCTGCTGAAACTATCTAGGTGTTGTTAATCCCATTCTCCCCCACAATCCACTGTCTGGTTTTTTTTCTTACACTGAAATTATGCTTTTCGCAAGGAAGATGGGCACACAAAAAATGACAGTATTCAGAGCATAAAAATAGCCTTAGCCACCTATTACAAACTATGCATGGTTTTGGACAGCATTTTCCTATGTGAAACTCATTCTCATTAAATGGTGATTTGTGTTGTCCTTTATCCAATTTATTTTCTTTACCTCAGCCTCACTCCACACTCCTGCCACTTTACTCTTTTGTTTTTAGACTTCAAGTTAATCTGAAAGGTTTGAAATTTTGACTCCTATTGGAGGTCTCTATAACCCCTTCTGCTGACCCAAGCAAAAACTGAACAAAACTCAGGTGTCCTGAAACTCAGGCAAGATGGGATTGACAACAAGCGCTTCAAAATTCACAGTACCTGCAACTCCATGGCAAACCCCTTCAATACACACCCTAACGTTAAAAGGCCATAAACTTAGGCTCTGGATGCCTAATTTTCATCCCTGGAGAAGTTTGTCAGCAATTCTGCAAAAACTAATTGACCAGTCAAGTTTAAAATAAATCTTTTTCTAAGGAAACATTAGACTTCTCTTCTCCTCACTCTGCCTTGTCTGTATGGATTATAATTTTTCAAGACAGGGGCTTTTGTTCTTTGCCTGTTATATCATGTTTGCACATCCCTGGGCCAGTGTCAAGTGCTTTATGTATTACCTTATTAGCGGTTTTTACCACACAGTCTTCTAATTCCCACTCATGCCGCATTAGCTCTGCAGAATCAGTGTAAGACTTTTGAATAGGAGACTGTAGCAATGCTTTTAACACTCAGAGTTCAGATGTATTGTCTCTCATTATTAGCAATGCTTCTTTATTCCATATATGCTTTGCTTTTGCTGCTCTCTAGATTATGCATCATTTAAATTACATTAAATACGACAACTGTAAAGCCCTTACTGTTCATAAAATTGTGAAATATGGACATTTGCACTTATTGTTTCTTTGAACACAATTGTAATCTCATCCATCTGGACAGTTGGCATGGGCTCTCATGAGGAAGATGGTTGGAAATATGATGGTGTTATCCTTTGTTTTACACAGGCTTAATACCATGTGTCCTCACTATGAAACACAGCCATGAAGTGTTTTGTAATTTCTTGATTTATGTTCAAATGTAACAGAAAATTTCAATTTACACTCAACAGTGCAGGCAGAAGTGGCAGAGAAAAAAAGATTTTGAAAGATATAGCTAAGGGCCAAACTGAAGAAAATTAAATCTCTGGTCTGGCAAACAAGAAACCTCTGTTAAATCACATGATAACCACCAGATTTCACTCTCTGAACATTAACAGAAAACCTTCACATCTAAAGAGAAAACCCACATTTCTCTATTTAGCTTTGTCCTGAAATGCAGGTAGACATACTTTTTCAGCAGATTCCACTTATATATAAATATTCCCTCAAAACAAATTCAGCTTCACAAATCTGATGATCACGAAGGCCATTCTTTCATCACAACAAAAGTCTGTACTACTAAGGAAAAAATATGTTTGGCTAAACTACAAATTTAAAATCCATTGGAACAGTGCAGAACAACTTTTGGCTCATAAATCAGCATTCTGACTAATGAATAACAAAACTGGAAGTATCCTGCTGAGGCCCTGTGTAGAAACTGCATTTTGGTTCAAGGCCTTAAAGTTATCAGTAATGGAGCTGCACCTGATTGACTAATGAAAGCAAAATGTTAAATTTCCTGTAACAAGTCATGAGAACCCTGACACAGTCTAATCAGTTCTTTGGCCCTGCATTGTATTTGCACAGGGTGCTTGTTTACTCTGAAATAACGAGCTCTCCGGGGTAGAGAGCAATCACACACTGTCACACTTCACTAGTATGTTATACCCTATAAAGAGGAAAGCCTCTGTTAGTATAAAGTTCAGCCACAGAGCTGTGGCTTTCATTTCTTGGTGTTATGGAACCCATTGCATTCCATGTAGATCCTTGCCCTGGGCTTTGGAATCAGCTCCATCAATATAGCAAGTAGAAAAAAAATTCTTGAGGCTTACAGAAAGAAAAACTACTTATGTGTAGACCTAAACATTATAGAAGAAAACTACTGCCTTTCTCTCAGTTTGTGTTCAAATTACTTTAGAATTAACTAATAACAGTATATACAAATGGTCACTATTTCAAGTATTCGAGTAAATATTTGTCCTTTCTTTTCTCACAAATTCCTTTTTATCCTCAAGCAAAACAACTTGTGGCTCATTTACAATTTGTGGATCATATTTATGATCCCATACAGTAGGAGCAGAACAAACCCATCTTGACTCAAATGGCACAAACTTACTTTCTGTTGTAGTTCACAGTTCATAGCCCTAACTAAAAAGTTGGAATAGGCATTCAAGGTAAACTTATAATACATTTACATTGTCATTTTGTGGTTTTGCAGCATATATTTTCAAAAGGATCTAGGTGATTATGTTGGGCATAATTAGAATACGTGAATTTGTATTAATAAAGGTTGAATGCAGAAAAGGCAAAATGAAAAATTCATTACAGATGTAAAATAGTCTCAGTTTATATAGACATAGCAATGTGTTCTTTTACAGACTTTCTTCCTAGTTTATAATAACACAACCCCACTGAGACTGTGGATATGCCATATCCTGAACTTGTCTGGATATGAATTGAATTCCTGAACTTGTCTGGCATTTTCTTCTCATGCAACAGTGACAATGATCTGTTTTCCTCATTCTGTGATGGCCTTTACTTGTGGGATTGTTAAAAATAAAACATTATTGAGTGCTTTGTGAAAGAGGCAACATTTGGTGAATAAACAGGGGATCTGAGGAAATCAATTATATTGCAAGTCATGAGCAATGGACAAAGGTCAGCAGGACAATTACTGCCCTCACTGTAACAGCTCACTGGTGAAAAGCAAGAGCAAAGTAGGTGACCTGTGTCTCACAAGATGACTTGTACGTGTCCCTACATGAGCATCCAAAGATGCACAGCAATATAGAAACAGAAGAGAACAGAAGAAAGGAGCAAACAAGGTAAAGGAATAAAAAAAAAGAAAAGGTTGGAAGAAATACATGATACATCATTGAGAGGGATACCAGCGACACAGACAATGTGGGTTATGAAGATGAATGTGTGCTACATAAAGCTGGAAGAGAAGGTGCATCTTCAGACAGCGAGCCAGACACTGGTCACAGCAGTATCACTATAGACTATGCATAGCAACAGCTCCTCTGTGTTTGTACCCAAGAGGAGAATTTGGTCACTGGCAACTGGAAACCAGGAAAACCTAAGCCAGAATCTTGTCCAGTGTCACCTCCAAAATGCTGTTACCACATGTATTTTCTACATTTCACGTTTTACCAAACACAATCTATTGTTTACTTTTGCATCTGGTAAAGCCACAAATAAATTCATTTATTTCCTGGTTACCAACTTATAAAAGGTTGTTCCAACACAGGCAAAACCTACTATAAGACAACTGACTTGTACTGCTTAATTTAACAAGGCAAGTAGGGCCCTATGCTGGAGTACTACACAGGAGGATCACCTGTGCAGTTACATGTTCTCCAAAGGGCTTTCCCATCTCTGTGTACCATCATCAATGACACAGAAACAGAAACTGCCCTTTAACCTTTCCAGGGGGTAATCTCTAATTTTCTCATGGAGCCCCCATACCTACTGTAGTGCTATGGCAACCATTATCAGGCCAACAGAACTCCTTTTGTCTCTCTGGTCATGTGTGAGTCACTAACAGCTGTCTGTAAATAGATTGCTTAGCAAAGTATTTATTGATACATTCCAATGCCTCAGAGTAATATAATTTGAAACAATATTACTGCTTTATGTACCAATTTCTTAAACTGTTATAAAGGCTGTCCAGTGATACCTTGCTTTGTTTCCAATGGGTATATAGGAAAAGACCCTCATGACTTCCAGAAGAGAACAACTTCCAGAGAAAAGCACTAAAATGCTATGAAATTTTTTGTTGCTTATGCTAATTCTGCATCTACGCCTATATTTGTCAGCACAATATTGCCACAATAGTCAATACTCTGCACTTACTATGCAGAGCCTCAACTGCATTCAACCCTTGAAAAGTATATATGAATTAAAGCATTTTGTATTAAGTCACAGAAGAGTGTAGAAGGAGATATTACTATCAACAAACTTGGCCTTACCTAAGTATTCAGCAGTCGTTGCTCTAACAAACTGTCATCCAAGGAGAGGCAAGGTCCAGCTTCTTCCTGGTAGACAGAGAACCCAGTCAGGTGGCCAGGCTGGCAGGGCAGGGGCCACACAAGCTGCAGCCTGTCCCACTGCTTCTAGGCAAAACACACAGGGAGCTAGAGATGACAGAGTGTGCAGAGTCCAGGCAAAGTTGCAGTAACCAGGTAGGAACAAAATCAAGCCAGAAAAAAAATCAGTCCATGGGCTACCAGAGACCACAGCTCAGCAAACCTGCAGGAGAGCCAGGCCAGAGCTTAAATGGAGCTCCAGCACCCCCAGGAAGCAGCGTGGGCAGAAGCCCCAGCTGAAGCTGATCAAGGTCGTACAGGTGTGTTGGTCCACCCAGAGCCCTGGCAACACTTTGGGAGCAATAGGGACACACTGCTTACACATGCCTGGAATCAATTAGCAGATACCTAAGGAAAAGGATAGCAAAAAGTTCACCTGACTTTTTCATGGGATTTATTGTATCACTGCAATGCTGTATTCTTTTTTTTTGCCTAATTTCACCAACTCAATATCAAGGGCTTTATTAAAATACTTGAAAAAATCCACTTTTTTTTTAATTCCAACTTTGTGGTACCTGCTAATACTGTTTAAATCTCCCATATTTCCATTTTCCTGTAAAAGGACTATTTGTAGAATAGCTTTTACGGTGTATTAGTCTAGGACATATACCTTTTCCCACAATTTTTCCTGATACCCTCCCTATCTCTTAATCCTGAAACATTCGTAATATCTTTATCCTTGAACCAGTAGAAAAGGATGGCAGAGGCTTATCCCTGCAGGAATTCTGCAGCTATGCTTGTGGTCTAAGCAGTACAGACTATGAAAGAGTCAGAAAAAATATCAGAAAGGAGAGTCAGCAACAGACTTCCACTATGCTCTCCTTAAGTTGCCACCTTCTGTTCTCACACAGGAAGAGTAGGTAAAGAATCCAAAAGATAAAACTAGCTCAGACTATTTTTGAACTATTTCTTTTAGCTGTTTCTGTTTGCACTATTATAAAACCTTGGCAGGCAAGGAAAATATTCTTAGAATAGCAGATTTCTTGCTTTGTTCCGCATCTGTTCCAAAACCATACAATGTATTTGAACAGCTGGCCAGTAACATGCAACGATCAAGTGTGGCAACGACAAACGATCACATTCTTTGATGAGGACTGAGGTTTCAAAGCTGAAATAAACCCTCAGATGTACATCTTGGTCTTAGGGCGACATGTTCAGATTTAAATCATAGTTTTTATTTTTCTTGAATTGAGCTTTCTGTTGGCAATAAAGGACAAAAAAAGTACTCATTACATCAAAATAAAACACTGGAACTACTCTGCAGAAAAGAATTTCCTGGTGGTGTTGCTAGGACGAGAACCAGAGGAGCTCAGTCTGGCCGTGTGTCATTACTGTGCTGCACGTAGCTTTAGAATCTTGAAATTATGTTTTGCTTTTTACACAAATGTGTAAAGATGATCTGAAGAATAACCCCTGATGAGCATTCATACCTCCTTTGTTGTCCTTATGTCCTTTGTAACTTCGTATCCAGGGGTATACATCACCTTATTCTAAAATCCCCAGCTACAGCCTTGGGCCCAGCTATGTTGGTCTCCAATATTACCTGCCTGCCCACCTATAAAGTGAAGCTTGATTTTATGCCTACAACCTTCATAAAACCTATCTTTACGTTTAAAGAGCTCCAAGAGGATGTCAAGGTCATTTTTACATGTAGGAAATAACATTAACCTAAGCTAAGCTCTCAAGTGACATTTCTTGTAACTGCCACAACAAACATAATAATTAACAGTTAGAGTAATGTTGAGATTTTGGTGTTCATACTGAATGAGATCTTTACAGCATCTGCTCTCCAAAACGTAAGTGAACAAGCGTAAATTAATTAGCTACTGGAGGAGACTGACAACTATCACTGTACCTATCACTTACTAAAGAAGTGCTGAAGCAACCTGATTGTTGAAGCAATCAGTACTGAACGCTGATTTTCATAAAATATAATTAGTGTAAGGCTTTGCAGACTGCTTTACACAGTTGTCTTCACGCAGGTCCTCCTTCCACCTCTGTTCTATCACACTGGGATGACTGACAGGAAAGCTAAAAATGATCACCAAGAGCAGAACAAAAAGGTTATTTTCATCAGCTGAACAGTTTGAAAAAACAAAACAGATAGAACAGGCAAAGCACTGACGCAGCATCATGCCGGAGTATGAGCATCACTGCAGCTGTCATGCATCTTCCTAAACCTGCGATTTTGTTTTCACCCCGACCGCTTGCACAAGTCAGTGAGAACGCTGGGCTGCGGTAGGCTTTTCCTTCCTCCGCCCTCTGCGGGCAGCACCATTGGACTGATAAGATGCAGCAAGGCACGTGTGAAAGATAAAGCAGGGAAGAGAAGGAGGAAAATAAAAAAAAAAAATAAAAATAAATAAATTAAAAAAAAAAGTCTGTTTTCTACAGGAGATCCTGATCGTCTGGGCGGCCGCGGGGCACAGCCCGAGCCCTTTAAGCTGCCCACCCTCTCCGCGGGCCGGCGGCAGCTGCCGGCTATTTGGCGGCTATTTATACCGGGGCGGCGGCGGGCGCTGGGTGTCCTGCGCGGGGCGGTCCCGGCGGCGGCGGGGCCCGGGCAGGAGCTGCCATGGCCACGGAGTTCCCCCCCACACCGGCCAGCGGCGGCCGCGCCGCGGAGACGCCGCTGAGCCCGGCGCGGCTGAGCCGGCTGCAGGAGAAGGAGGAGCTGCAGCAGCTCAATGACCGCCTGGCCGCCTACATCGAGCGGGTGCGGGCGCTGGAGGCCGACAACTCGGCGCTGCAGCTGCGACTGAGCGAGCAGGAGGCGGGCACCGACCGGGAGCTGGACTGCCTGCGGCTGCACTACCAGGCGGAGCTGGCCGACGCCCGCCGGGCGCTGGACGACATCGCCATCGAGCGGGCTACGCTGCAGGTGGAGCTGGGCAAGATCGGCGAGGATCACCGGCAGCTGCACGTCCGGTCGGTGCCCCGGCCCCGAGCAGGCCTCCCTGCCTGGGGACACCCCGGGGAGCCGGCCCTTTGGGGCTCCTGCGGGATGAGGGGAAGGGGATGCTGCTGGCAAGAGCTGTGTGTTGTAGGGGGAGTGCACAGGGATGTTGGGTGTATGGGTCGTGCAGGGGTGACACCCCAAAGGCTCTCTGGGGTTGGAGTGTCTTGGGTTAGGAGACATCTGGATTCCTGTTCTGAAGGTGAGCTGTAGGGACACTACTGGGAGTGCCTCCTCTGGTGGTGTTATGGGGTGGCATGGCACCTGGGATGGGCGTGGGGCTCTGTCAAAATTTGGGGTGCTGGGTGCTCTTATAGGGTATGAATGCAAAGCTGCATGGGTTTGGCACCACACCTGTGTTTACAAATGCTCAAGGTGCTGGAAAGTATCTAGAAAGTTATGGAAGCAGTGGAAGGAGTGTTTGTATGGAGTTAGTGCACATCTCTTTTGGGCTGTTTTGCTCAGGCATTGTCCAGAGAAGGCAGTCCTGGGAGCACTATGGCTTACCTGGTCCAGGTTGGTACTTCATAGTTTTCCTAGTGGCTTTTGGGTCTGGATTTACATGCTACTGGGATAAGCTGCCTGCTGTTTCAGCTGGACTTTCTTGTAAGATGTGTATCCTGAACCTGGAATCATCTTGTTGTCTAGTCTTGCCTAGCCTGGAACAAAGGGGTGGCCCAATGTAAGTGCAATCACATCCTCTTGAAGGAGGGAAGAGGAGTGTAGTGAAGGGGAGGAAACAAGTGTCCAATCCCAACAAGCTTCCTTTATGGATATATACAGCATACTAGCACTGCTAGTTACTTTAATGACCCATTGTACCCCTAAATCACCTACAGACTTGTAATAATTTGGGTGTCCACAAGCCTCCAACATCTTGTTATAAACATGTAATCATAGCAAACTTAGGGACTAGCTTCTTTTTTTAACGCCTGTATGGAACAAGTACTGCCCCCTCATAGGCTCAGTAGCTGTTCTGCTTGGGAATAAAATGTGTTTTTACTCTAAGCTTCTGTTTTCATCTGCATAGTTGTTGTTGGGCTTGTCTCAGTCATGCTGGGTTTTGGCTCACAGATCTGTTTCATAAATCTAACCAGCCACTTGACTGGACAGTGAGGAGAGGGGTAATGCCTGTTCTAAAACTTTTCTGCTGCTCTTTGTGTTTGTATAACTTTGGCTTTGTTTATAAAGCTTTAGACTTGGCAGGTATGCAGTCCTCCAGACTGTTGTTTTTTCTTTACTTTAACTAGGTCTTAGAAGTGGCTAAATTTACATCCCATGGGAAATGATATCCAGTACATACTGGTTTCTGAAAGGACTAGACTGAAGTCCTAATATTAATGTGTGTTGTATCTGGGCTGCCTAACTGCAAATGTCTCAGATGACTTGGAACAAACTTTGAGGGTATCGTGCCCTTAATATATACACCCTTTAAATAACCTGGTGGCTATTTAACTCTTATGGTATGGAATGTCACCAGATAATTTCCCAACAGCATTAACTATTGGCTCTGACTAATCACAAGTTGAGAGACTCAAAGTTTATGATGACTTACTGCATTTCAGTTTTTTTCTTACTACTTACAGTGGTGACTGGAAGTAGGCCAAGGATGTTTGGGGAGGAGGAGTTGTAGATAAGCATATCAGTTGGTTGAATTCAGAGCCTGAGGAAGGTCAAAGCAACTACAGTAACACAGCAGAGAGAGACGAGACCAGTTCCTTTCTGCATCAGGGAGTATAGATGTGCATTTTACTGCTGAACTGACACACATGGAGTAGCAGCTGAGGCCATAAGAATTAATTCTGTACGTGCTGTTGATGTCCTCTGGTCTTGACAAACTGAACACATACCTGAAATATTCTGGTATAATTATTTAAATTCTTCAGATCAAACATATGTGACATCCTGACTTACAGAGAATGTGATTGGCAGTGCCTCAAAGTTTTTGCTTGTAATTGATAGTCAGTAACTCACACTTAGTTCTAGAATGGTTGGTATATGGAATGGTGCAGAGTACTGTAACTGTCCCTGCATGATGGTATAAAGTGGTGTTCAGAACCCCAAACTTGGTTTAAAAGGGTAATAAAAGCTCTCGTCCAAGTCAGACTCTTTAAATTATTGTTCTTAAAGATGAAATTACTCAGTCCAGGTTTCTTTGAAAATATTTGTCAGGAAAGAATCTAGGAAACCTCAGCCTGGCTGTCAGAGGCTTGCTCTGGGAAAGTGGACTGCTAAAACACAGATAGTAATGGAATTTCAGTTTTGCAAACACTTTGATTGCAGAATGAAATTTATATTATTGTAGGATGAAACAGTCAATATTATTACTATATAGTGTTACTGATATACTTAGCAGTATATAATACAGTAAGTATGATATGTATATCATATATAATACAGTAAGTGGTAGGAGAGACCTAAAAGGAAGGTGAATACCTAGAAAAGAAAGAAACCTGTAAATACTAAAACTATAACACATTATCTGTTTTTCATAGTTAGTAGAGCTGCTTTCCTCCTAGAGTCTGAGTAAAGACTAAATAACCTCTGCTAGCAAAGCACAGTCAACAAAGGTCTCTGTAGAGCAGGGCTAAAAAAGGCCTTGAACAAGAACCTGATGTAACCAGATGCCCCAGGCCTGTGTTGGAAGCAGCCATACCTGCATCCTTTCTAGCAGATTTTGTAACTCTTATTTTAAATTCCAGATGATGGAGATTCCAGAATATCCCCCCCAGGCAATGTGCTTCCATGTTGAACTACTGTTAGTTTCTTCCCCCTAACATCTAACCTGAATATTCCTTCCTGCAATTTAAGCCTGCAGCTTCCCGTCTGTTCTACAACAGACATGGAAAATAGATTCCCTTCATGTATGTAAAGGCTGTTCTGTCTCGTGTCACTTTTCTGTTCTCTAGACTAAACAACCCCAAGTTTTTTCCAATCTTTACTTGCAATCCAGGCTTTCTAGAGCTGATCAGTCCTGCAGAATTGCTTTGGACTCTCTCCAACTCTGCTCTGTTATCCACTGGAAAACTCATTGTCTGAACTAATGCAACTTTGCCACTTGGCAGAAGAGATTTTACCAAAACAGATTGAGGCCTTTACTCTTTGCAAGCTCAAATCTGAGTTTTGAGGAGGACACTCAAGACTCTGGATAGTGGGCAGGGCAACTGCAAAGGATTTTAAAAGTTGGAGTAGTGCGGGGAGTTATCGCTGTGTTCTTTGACAGAACTCACTGTGGGCCCAGTACTTTGCCGCTGTGGTGCCAAGTAAAACTGGCAACATAACCGTGTTGGCCGTGCAGGCGGTACCCGAGGTGCAGTGCCTGGGCGTTGGTCTGGAGATGCCTCTTCCCAAGGCAAAGTTGCTCTTCCCCTGCATCTCCACGGTGGAGGGAGGAGTGCGTGTCCCTTCCCGAGGGAGGGCAGTCCCTTGCAGGGGTGCTGTGAGGGAGGGCGGCTGTCGGGCCTCGCTGAGGGGCTGCAGGAAGCAAAGCTCCAGCGGGGCCGCGGGGCAGCTCCCAGGGCTGGCCGGTGGCCTCCAGGGGACAAAGCTCCCTCTGTGCTGCGGGGAGGAGGAGCGGCACCCCCGGCAGCCACAGCCCGCGGAGGAGGGGGCGCTTTGCCCCGTGTGTGACCGGCCCGGCCGCCTCAGCCCCTGCGGGTCTCCCCGGCCAGGGCCGTGCGGGGTCGGAGCCCCCGGTGCCGTGAGGCGCCTTCCCGGCGGGCTGGTGGCGGCCCTTGCTGCGGGGGTTGTCCGTGAAGGCTCGGTCACGGAGTGTGACCATCCCTCCCTGTGGAGCTGGAGGCCTGTGCTGTCCCTTCCCTTTCCCGTTGGGAATGCCGTGGAAAATAGCTGGCTTCCGCATAGGATTCGCACAGAACGAGCTGGAAAATGGGTCAGGAATCTTGCCGGTTAAACAAATGATGCTTGTCCGAGCGGCCTGTCCGGTTTGTTTTACAGCTCACCCTGTGCTCTCACCGTGAGCACGATTAACCTCCGCTCTGTTTCACCGCAGACCCCTCTGAAGGCAAACACGTTGAAACACACTGAAAACAAACCCTTCCTCACCAGCTGCAACTTACCAGTGTAAAACTTTCACTTGCAGGAATTCCAAAAAAGAAAGTGATTTGAACCTGGCCCAGGCTCGTCTGAGAGACCTCGATGCCCAGCTGATCGCGAAGGAAGCTGACTTAGCCACAGCCCTGAGCGAGAACCGCACTTTGGAGAGTGAGCTCCGTGAATTAAAGGAGGAAGTACTCACGGTAAGACTTGCTCTTGGAATTTAAACTTTGCTGCTATTCCTGCAGTTTTTGCTTGGTTTTCCCCAATTACTTTTTGATATCTAAAAGCAGGGAAAGCCCATTAACTGTGGCAGTGAAGAGCAGGCAAAAAGATTTCCACAATCTTGCTGAAAGCAATTGCTACTGATAGTTCCTTAAAACTTCCACCTGTCGCATGCACCTTAAATTCTATGTATGTAATGTTTCTTGTTCTAAGGTCAAAACAAGTTGAAATTTGTAATACTGCTATAATCCCTGTAGAATTCTGTAACGTGTCAAGGAAGGGAGCCCTTGAGGAACTCTGCTTCCCTATGCTTAAAATCTAGGTAGAATAAGTTCTGACTACTCTTTTTTTGTAGGCTTTTGTGCAACTAAAATGAACTCTGCTCGAGTTGCTACTCTACCAATGCACTTATAAGAGCATAGCTTTAGTATCTTCATGCTTTAATGTGTTCATTGAATAAGCTAATTTCAAATTTGTAAGGATGAAAACTTTAAAAAACCCAACAAAACAAACAGCATTGTATCATTAAAGCAACATACTCCAACACTTGAAGTGTATAATAGCATGTCAATGTAGGTAGACTATATCTGGAGGATTTTACTCCGTTAAGTGTCAAAGAAATTATATCACAAGTTAGGAAGAAGTTCTAAATATCTGCTGTTGTAAAAGGGGAGGAATGTATATGGATGGTACAATTGATTAGAAGTCTACTTTGAGGAGTCAAACTTAGCTGGTGGCATTAAGGGCTGCTCTACATTTGCCTTGTGGGAAATCTGGTCTACATAAAAATTAAATAGGAGTCTATCTGTTGGTAATATTCTGGATCCTACTGAAATAAGAACTTAAACAGAATAACCCACTTCACTCAAGCAGCGTGTTTTGGTTGATGTGGGAGCGAAGTAGAATGATCTGTAACAAATTGGCTGCCTTAATTTGAAAACATGACCTCTTAATTTTGATAACCCTGTTGTCTGTCCTTTCTAGCTGAATCTGTCACTGGAAGATACTACAAAGCATCTCCACAGTGAAATGTTGAGGAGGGTGGACCTAGAAAATCATATGAAAACTTTGCAGGAAGAAATGACGTTCCAGAAGCGCCTTCATGAAGATGTACGTTTTAGCTTATAAACCAGCAATTTTTTTTTAGGTATACGTAGATGCACTTAAAAGTAAGGTTAAGATGGGCTTAATGCTTAAAAAGGTAACTAGCTGAGCCAACCTATGGCAGCCCATCACCTAATTGAATCCACCTAACTAGGAAGACTTCAAGGAAGTACACAACCTCATGTTAACTGGGATAGTACCAATAGATATTTGGAACATGAGAGAATTTTCTCAGGCTGCTCTTCTGAACTACAATCCCAGTACACTATTTTGTGTAAGTGAAAGTGCGTATATTACAGTTACTGTTAAATTATTCCAGATGTTTGCTTGAAGCCTGAAATAAGCGAAGAAATTAAATCTGCTTTAATAAGCAACTTGTGTTCCCAACTTCCTTAACACTTCTTAAAGGTGTCTGGTAACCTTTGTGAGAGAAGTCAGTACACAGAACTAAGAAACATGTGAATGTAAACCAGCTTCCTTCTTGCTGGTAGGAATCTTGAAGTGTGTGGTTTAAGTGATGGAATTCTAATTTCTCTAACCAACTGCTATGACTTTTTGAATAAAACAAGAATAGGTGAAGTAACAGTGCTTGAAGAAACTGAAATGTACCTGCATGTGTTCAAAGTAAAATAAACAATCTATCTAGCGTAAAGAATTAAGTCTTACAATTAAATATGAATTATTACTTTTATTAGTTTGAGCAATGTTGGCAGTGAGATGGCAAAACAATAGTGAGGCAGCTAGCAAGGTGGGCATGCCAGACCTAATGGATGAACATCTAAGATACGAATCAAGATGAATTACTGTGTACTCAATGAGAAATGTGCTTCAGGAGTGAAGGACTCATGAAGCTGGTACACTTTGAGTCTCAAACTGTATTGGCTTGTTTATTCTCTGTAAAATTTCTTCTCCTTCTAGAAGCTCAAGGAGACAAAAAGAGTCCATGAGAGCAGGGTAGCAGAAGTAGAATCTGGCCGTCAGAGAGAATTTGAGAGTAAGCTCTCAGAAGCTCTGCAGGAGATCAGAAGACAACATGAAGAACAAATTCAAGGATACAAAGAGGAGCTGGAGCGAACATTCAGTGCAAAGGTGAGTTTGTAAAGATGACAGTAAAACAAAGCTGAAGTTCTCTGCACCTTGACACAGTTAAAGTCACGCTAGCATAAACAGCTTATCCGATGGATCCCTTGCATTCAGTGTGGAGCTTCTTGGCATAAGTTATGGAATTTCAAAGCAGTGTCAAATTTAGGATTTCTGCAAACTTTTGGTCCCAAACCAAACTGGTTCAAGCATAAATACTGTCCCTTTGGGAAGTGACTAGGAATAGCTGATTATATTTGAGACTTCTGACAAATTTGGGACCAAGGTGTGTCATGTTTGTATTAAGCATTTCAGTCTTGAATAAAGCCTAACTTTTTCTACACTCTAACTTATGTGCCAATTCAGTGAATTCCTTTGGATGCTTCTGTTTCTGTTTTGACTGGAAATTCTGAGTACCTCTTGTAGGAGCACTTTATCCTTTCTTGGAAAATCTCAAGATTGAGCTATTTGTAGAGCAATTCAATGCTGCTTATAATGATGCAGGAACTCTTTAGTAACAGACCTTTTGGGGAAGAGCAATAATAGTTTGATATGCACACCCAATGCCCTGCAGCCCTATGCTCTGACAAGCAGCTTCTAAATATATTCTCCATTGTTCTTCTGGAGAATTAATTTACTTAATGTCTATACAAAGACTTCATGCATCTCTAACTGAAATATCCTAATCCAGCCGTTTTCACTACCTGATTATTGCTGACTTTTTCTGACATAAATGTCAAACTTGTGTAAACCTCCTTGGAAAGCAGTGAAAACTGTTGAGCTGGACTTCATTCATATCTGCACATTTAAGTAAAAACTATTTCCAGATGTAACAGGTGAAAATTACTTGGGTTTCCTTTCGTATTTAAAATATATGGTAATATGCAACTGATTACTAACAGTGACTTATCTGCAGATGGAGAATGCCCAGCTAACTGCAAGAAGAAATAGTGAGTCTGCCAGTGCTGCTCGGGAGGAGCTGCTGGAAACAAAGAAGAGAATTGATACTCTGGTATCTCAAGTTAATCAGTATCAAAGCCAGGTGCTGTCTTTATTTGTATAACCTTAGAATTATTTTAATTTAGATATTCAATCAAAAATATTGGCCTCTTCTCTCTAATCCTTAGTTGTGGGTTTTTTTCCATTCTGTTCATTTTAGAATGTTGCTTTGGAGAGCAGAATAAAGGAGCTACAGGACTTGCTGGATTATGATCGTGATCTCCATCGAAGGCATATGGCTGAAAAGGAGGAAGAAATGGCACAAGCTCAGAGGCAGGCACAAGAACAGCTGGAAGAATATGAGCATCTCTTAGATGTGAAACTGGCTCTAGATTTGGAAATAAATGCCTACAGAAAGATGCTGGAAGGAGAGGAACAGAGGTAGGCTATGACAAGATCTTCTTATGAGGACTTGCTTCATTCAGGACATCTACACTAACTCGATACCTTCAGAATGTGGAGGAGATAAGACACAAACATTAAGTATGTCATTAGTGCAGTAACTTAGTTAATGAAGCTTAATCTTCTGTAGATGGTATTTATATCCCACATGGTGTAGTAAGATGAAGTAGCTTGATAAACCCAACTGATAAAATTCAAAGGTCCATTAGACATTCCTCCACTTCCTCAAAGTTTTGTGCTACATCTTAAAGATATATCAAAGACAGTGCTCAAGTTCCATGAATGAAACTGAGAAACTGTATCAACTCCCATCTATCCAGACATGATATCTCACTTGCCTATTGAGACATGAACTCTCAATAAGAAGGGTCAAAAACTTAAAATTACTTTTCCTGAAGACTGTGTCTGTAGAGACTTTAAAGGAATACTTACTGCAGTTGGGAATCTTTTCTTATCAATATAAGCTTGCCCTGAACTTCAGGGCTGGAGATGTCTTCCAGACTTAACAAGCCTTAGCTACTCTCGCCAATAAAAATAAAATCTTATATTCAAGACCTCATGGAAAGCTTGGATAGAGGAAGCTGTTAGGCTTGGTTATAGTAGGAGGATAGGATTGAGAAGAAATCAAGCATGTCAGACAGTCAAGTGAATGTTATCTGACTCTCCCCTAGGCTAAGGCTGTCACCCACTCCATCTTCACGCAGCATGGCAACTCCAACAACAAGTAAAGGACGGAGGTTTCTGCATGGGAAGAAAAGGAAAGTGAAAGAATCCAAAAAGAGAGAGTGTGCTGCTACATTTAAGACTGTTCAGCATGCCTCAGCTTCTGGAAATGTATCCATTGAAGAGATCGATGCAGATGGGAAGTTTGTCAGGGTTAAAAACAACTCTGACGAGGTACTTTTGCTTTTATGGCCTTCATTGCCAAGTGTGACTGTTTGTGAATGACTTGTAGCTTAGTGACAGACTGGAGACTGACTTCTTTGGTACTGCAGGTGTTCTGTTCACAGGGCTGTCTGGGAGGTGCTTTTGGGTGGAGGTGCAATGAGTTCTATTATGCAGAAATCTAACACCTTCAGCTGTTTGTCATCAGATTCAGGCTAGCACTATCAGAAGTACTACTTATCCTTGATGAGCTAAATAGGGTGCCTAGTAAATTGGATCATGATAGTCTCTTATGCTTAAAAATACTTAAACCAGCTAAAAGATTGTATAGAGATGATGATATCTAATCCATGTGGAGGGTTTATCTGACCAATTAGGTAGTTCTTTGACTAGTTTAGTTTGCAAAGCCAGAACTATTAGAATTAATCATCAGAGCTTCAAAACATGTGGCTTGTAGTCTAGCCTCTTCAGCCTGAGATGCCTTAAAACTTCACAGGCTACTATGTATTTTATATATATATGGCTCAAGTTGGGTAGGTGGGCACAGTTCTGATAAACTTCCTTATCAGAATCTCCCTGGTAAAGAGCATCATAACCCCCCCTTCAATGGAAGGCAAGAATAGGTGTGGCCTAACTTATGGGACTGAGGAGAATCCTAAAATACAAGGAGAAGACATAGGGAGGCTATAATGGAAACTTGCCTGCTTCCTCAAAATTGTTCACATTCTTGTATGCTACAGGAGTGGGATTAAAACTGACCCATGAGTCTGGAAAGAACCTTGCATTTGTATCACATGGTGTTGGTCTGCAGTGCTGAGTAAATTTCTTGTCCCACAGGATCAACCACTTCATGGATGGGTGCTGAGACGACATATTGGAAGTGTGTCAGATGTTACTTACAAGTTTCCTTCGCAGTTCACTCTTCAGGCAGGCCAAGTAGTTACAGTAGGTAGTGGTTTTGTCAAACTTTCTCAGAGCTCTGTTCCTGTGTTAGATGCCAATAGAGATTCCTGTAATATGGAAAACTAAACTGATACTTTTAAGTGCCTGAAGGACAAAAGCTCTTATTTTATGTAGTGAGGGAGATGGGGGAAAATCCTTGATTTTGATCTGAAATGCCAATTAAATTTTCTTTAAAGCTTGGATGAAACCTGGATCATCCCAGATTGGAATGTGCTCTAATTGTGAACATTGTACTGTAGTATATTCTTAGGGTTCCCTAAGTATAGTATTGTACTAAGCTAAACATTAGCACTAAAATCGTACTCCTAAGTACATTTAGATAGCGATAAAGAGCCAAACTCTACACTTGCTACTCCAAACTGTGTAGGAGCTTGCTCAAGAGGTCTATGAGTGACCAGGAGAGAGGCTCTTGTACACACAAGTTGCTGCCCCGAGCATGTCTGTGACTATGGCTTGGCTCTGTGACTTGGCTCTTGGCTCAAATGTTACGCATGCCAAGCAGGGCTACCTCTACAGCAGGTAGAAGCTGTTAACAGCCTTTTCTGAACTAAGTGTTCTACAGTTTTCAGTTTAAAAAAAACTTTACCATCATTCTTGGTATTCCTGGAAAGAACTAACTTACCAGGGATCACAGTGATTCAGTTTGTTACTGGACATCTTTGGTATTGCAGTACTTGATAGTTATGTGTATTAGACTGAATCCTACTCTAACTACAAAGATTCTTCAGAAGCTCACTCTAAATCTATTGCAGATCTGGGGTGCAGCTGCTGGTGTAAGCCCAGGTCCAAGTGATCTGGTCTGGAAGTCTCAGAGGTCTTGGGGAACTGGGGATAGTATTGATGTTACACTTATCACAGATGATGGTAAGGTAAGTGAAATAGTAAATACCTTCTACTGTCCTAATACTAAATTTGTTTGTGCTTAATCCGTGAGGATCCTTGGTGGCAATTCAATTGTATTCTAGGAACTCGCAGAGAGGAAGATAATGTTTGTACCCAGAGGAGAAGAAAGCAGTGAGCAAGATGATGATTATGAAGAAATAACTGGAAGTGAAATGGAGTTTGCATCTCAGGTAAGCTGCCTGAAGTTCAAATGCATGCCATCAGCAGAGTCACTCAATGGCCACTTCTTTTCCATACTAAATCAAAATACTTCTTCAAGTACTATTCATATCCTTCAACTATTGATGTTTTTCTTGATGTCAGACCAAAAGAAGAAGAAAAAAGAAATGTTGTTTGGTTTCATGATAGTGGTTCCTGTGAGCATCCTTAAGCAGGTGAGATGGTGAGAATCATGCTTGTCATCTCATAAAAAACTTGCTTCATTAGTGATGCTGCAGTCTCTTGTCCCACATAGGATGTAGCTTGCATGGCTTTGCAACAGAAATGCAGTTGATGTTTTGCTTATTCTCTGGCTGAGTATGCATTAAGATATTTAATACCTTATTACTGACACACTGAAAGGTACAACCTTTAATGTCTCTTTCATCTGAATATCTGACCATGTATGAACTTTGAAGCTGTTATCCCACAAACAGAATGCAAACACTATTTTTGTGGGATGAAGTGACTTATCTGACACTCCAGTGTCCCTGACTTGCTCTTAAGATAACTTCAGTGTGAATTTAAGTTGAATATACTTACAAACCCTGGCTACAAACTTACATGTTGTAATGCCCTGTGCAAGACTTCACAGCCCCTTCAAATGGCTCTTGACTAACCATATTACAAGTCTGCACTGATAGTAGTGAGCTATCTTTAATTGCTGAAGTTGTCTAAAACAACTAATATGAGGGCTTTAAATTGGTTATAACTGAACAATTATAGCTGTTCTTGACCCAAATTAGTTTGTGTCTTGACCTGAAATAGCACCATGTCCCCTTTGCTAGTACAGACTTCAAGGCCTGAAGTGCAAGGTTGTGCCCAGCTAAAACCTCCCTCCTGCTGACACATGTTAAGCTACCACAGCTCTTCCTAAAACTGATCCTACACAGTTAAAAGCAGGATTTGCATCTTAGTGCAATAAGTCTTAAAGCTCCCACCACCATTTCCTAAATATTTTTGTAATATATCTGTCTGAAAACTAACTCAAAAACACCTTCATGCTGTCTTTCTGAAGAAAATGTTCCAAAGAACGAGCAGTTACTGCCTGCTGCTTGTTTTTTTTTGCTTTTCAAACAGAAAATTTGGGTAAATATGTTACTACAATACCATGTGGCTTAAAGGACACTTATCAGTCTCCCGACTTGCATGCACATTCTTGTAATATTTTCAGTCTCTCACTGAAGATGGTGATACCCTGTTAACGAGGCTATTGAGAGAGGTTCCATAATGCTGTTCTGCCCTTTAGGCTCTTAATGCACAGCACACACCAAAACGGTTGAAGGAAGCTTTAGGGTCATGAAGAGATTTACCAAAACAAGCTTCTTTTCATATTCAGAGTAGTGCCTCTCCTCCAGGGTGGCAGCTTTTTATTTTAAAAGGTGGGGTTTTTTGAGTTCACTGATATGGCTTGTTTGGTATTCAGTGATGGAAAGCAAAAGTAACTTTTTTCCTTACACCTCTAATTTGTTTTATCAGCAACTTTACAATACAGTTGTGTGACATTTATGGTAAGAATCAATTCTAATACTTCCAATCAAGTGTTAATATCTTTCCTGTCTGCTGAATTCCTGTTAAACTTTTGACATTAGTACCTATATGCTTCTGCTGCATTGGTGGTACTGAAGTGGCAGCTTAGTAAACAGCAGTTAACTTCTTGCATGCAGTAAAATGATGAGAAGAATGCATGCTGTGCTTTAAAGGAAGGCAGGGTTTCCATACCTTTTGCTTCTGCTTTTACCATTCTAACTAGGGCAGCATGAATCTGCATGCCAGTGAAGTTCTGATGCTTGAGAACTGAGGTAGTGAGCTTGACAGCCTTTCATGAAGGAAGGCACGGGCTCATGTATTGCATGGCCTCAAATTCTTACAAGTTTGTAGTCTTTCTCCCCACCCACAACCCATCTAGTACAGTTCATGTACTGCCTCTCTTGAAAATCTGCTTTGCTTTATTAAGTAACTAAATCTACAGAACACTAAAACCCCTACATGGCTATATGAGGATCAAGTAGGTAACCAGCAAGAAATAAGAAGTTTGTACACATGCTAATTAGGCTAATGTCTTCATGTTTTCTTGCTGCAGCAAAATGAGGATCCTAGCTGTTCTCTCATGTAATGTGGACAAAGAGACAATCATCTGAAAGCATCTGAGTCCCAAGTGACATAGACTGTACGTGTTTTGGTATCTTCTGCAATATCTGAAACTTGGAATTCACATCACACCTGATGTCTTCGTAAGAACATTGTCTATAACATGATGGAATTTCCTACCTTCTGGTACTGGACCCTGTCCTCGGATTCACTGTTACAAAGAGCAGTAGAATGCAAGCTCCATGTGAACTTATTTTTACTTTTATACAGGGATCTGGTTTCCATGACCTGCTGAAAGAGAGGAGGGTACACAGTTTACAAAGCTTTTAAATGTGCTCTAGAAGGATGTTAAATACTTGACAATGAACATGAGGCTGCCTCAATATTCTCATATGGTGTTTCTCCAAAGGTAATTTCTCTTTTAAGCCTGAGTGGGATATGGGACAGATCACACCCTGGCTTGCCCCTTGAGCAAGTTAAAACATTGTCCTGAAGAGTTATGAGTGTCTGAAATGTTTCCTGCTCAGGAAACATGCAAAAATATATGAAAACTGCTCTACAGCACTTGCTGGAGTGAAACACTTTAAAATTAAAAGCAAGTTGTAAAAAAATATTTGTGCCTGGTAATACATGTACTGTTTCTATATTCTAGCACCTGGAAATCCCCCAGTTTCAGTATTGTATATTCCTAGACAGAGAATATCACAGCATAGCTGTGCCAACCTTAACTTGGACAAAATGTATCCTGTAAATGTGAAAAAGCATCTCATTCCAACAGGGCAGGTACTGTGACTAGTGTTGTTGGCACTGTTTGAATAGTCCCAACAACAGCTTTCTAAGGGGCTAGAAAGAAAAACATGCTAAAACAAACAGGAAAACCAGAAAGCACCAACTGTAGTGAAAAATGCATTGAAACAGCTGCTCTTAGAGTGCTTGTGTACTGACTCCCTGCAGTCTGCAGCACTGGGGGTATGTCCAATGGGCCAGTTGGGGGAATACTTGACTACTGGTCAGTATGCTATCATTGATAGCTCTGGGTCCATGAAAAGCCTGTCCTGTAACCCTCAGAACCAGGCACTCAGCCTCTGGGGGCACTGCAGTCAGTCACTCCTTGCCTCTCTTCACTGAACTTACCTGCTGGCCCTGAGGGGGAAAGGAAGGGCCTGGATGAGCCACTGGAAGTACCCTTCTACTTTAGAGCAGGAGGGGAGGAGCTGAGCCTGCAGATTTATCTAGATGCTGGAATAGTGTTTTGACTGTCTTTTATCTTGCCAAAGGACTCGGTTCCAAACTCAAGACCTTGGTGTTTTAGGATGTAGGTGTTAAGGTGCTTATGCTAACTTAAGCTTTTACATTATTTGACAGTTCTAGTTTTGAGACATCAAGAGCACATGTTGGTTTAATACTTGCATTGTAGCAGATCCAAATTCTTGTTCCACCTGAAACCATAGAAATAGCTGCTGCTATAACATTGCTGTATTTGTCTTGATTTCTTAAAACTTTTTTAACTATTAAAGATATTTTTCATGTATATAAAAGTCTTGGATATAAAAGTCATGTATATAAGTCTTGGATTTGAATATTTGCAAATTAAATAATAAAAGTCTGTTTATTCATTGATTTCAGTTGAGTGGTTCAAAAGACTTCAAAGTCATAAACTGGTAAGTTGAAGGATTGCAGAGTGAAGAAACCTTCAGAACTGTACTCTGCTCTCCTGTTTATATTAATCACTCATTTCAAATAAAGCTTGACTTAAGAGGAATCTTCAGCATTTCAAATAAAACCTTTTTACTGCACAAGGGAGGGATGGTGTTTAGCAACTGCCATGGAAGAGCTAAAGTAGTATACAAGTGTTGACAGGGAAGAGCAACAGTCCAGGAAACAAGTTCTACTTCCATTTACTCAATTTACAGTCTACAGGGTAGTTTATGTTGCTTTTCCTTAGCATGCAACTTTTTATAAAGGCACAAATAGAAGAATCAATTCTCTGCTGTGCAATGGATCCTACTGTGCAAATTATCTTCCTGACAGCAAACCTTAATGATAGTAGGTAAAGTACATAGACCATAGGAAACCCTAATTGCTAACAGTGTAGAGCTTTTGATTTGCTTCCAGGTTACTAATTTTGCACTTTCTACTTCTAATGAGGCATCTATTGCAGCTGTCCAGGAGCTCTATACTAAATGGCAAGCTGTCTATTGAAAAGTGTATTGAGAATTCAAATATATATATATATCTGTGCACGTACATTTGTGCATATATAATTCTTTCCTTTAGGGAATTCTGTTGAGGTAAAAGGGAGATTTTGATTCCTCATTTCTTGCCTGTACTGGAATGGTAAGGTAGGTGAGATCTCTCTTAGAATGGGGGAAAAGCAAAAGCAGCTGTGAATCCCAAAGACTTGAACCTGTGTAAGTTGTCTCAAGCATTTTATATTCAGAACTTCACAGCTACTTTCATTCAAAAACCAGCCAGGGCACTTTGCTTTCCCTATTGTTGCTCTAGTAACTAGTAATTCAGAAATGATGTGCCTGAAGGAGCAGGCTCCAGCAGAAGCTATGAAGGATAACCCTCCTCTTTTGTGACCATTGCACAAGTCCAGACCAGAGGTGAGAGAAACCAGAAAGCCCTGGGTTTGAGAGCCACATGGGGGCTATTTATGCTTCTTAAAAGGAAAAGGGACTGCACCTGTTATACACAGGAAATTCTTTCCTCTCCAGGGAATGCTGTTTCAGCTGGACTACAGAACCGGCTACAGAGTGAAACTCTGAAGGTGGATTCAAGACAGTTTGCCCATAAAAGAGTTCAGCTCTCTTCTCATCAATTTATCTTGTATGGAGAGCAATTGGCAAAATACCACATCTTCCTCTGGGGCTGCTGACTTGATTTGGTCACTACTCCATCATTAAACATGCAAGAGATGGCTAATAGAGAAACACGGTGATTCTAACTTCATTTAGTACTTAAGTACTTAGGATGCCTAAATTTGTCCTTAATTTTGAGGCTTTTTTTTTAGCATATCTTTAGTTATCACATCATTTTCTCTTTTTTTTTCTCCTTTCCATCCCTTTCAACTAAACATAAAAAGTAGAAGTATATTGACTTTTCATTTGTTTGCAGTAGGTACCAGGGATACCTATTTCTCTCACAGGTGTTCTATACAACCTCTGTGGAACTAGAAGCAGTTTGTCCTTAGTTCCAAGGAATTTGTCTCTTATCCTCCTCCTAGAAAAAAAAAGTTAGACATTATAAATGCTAAACAATCAGTAGAGAGGTGTCAAGATGATTAGAATTCAGGGCCTGAGGTGTTATAAAACTAATACTTTGTCTTTACTTGTGCATTTTTAATGTAGCATTGTTTTTGTCACCAAAAGCTCATATATTCAGCAAAAGTGACCTCCAGTTCAAAAACAAGTGCCAGAACTACAGGTATAGAAGCAGCAGCCACTCTTCTTATCCCACAGAAATATTTATTCAGTTTGGTCAGTAAATTATAGGAATTTTCAATGCTGAGAACTTGTACTTAGTACAACATCATCATCATATTGACAACAACCACTTTGCCTTTTGTCAACATACAAGGTGAAAGATGTATTAACTTGTTCACAATAAATTACAGTGTGATAGATGAAAAGAGCTCAATGACATCAGTAACTGAGGAACTGGTTACAGTTAGCTTCACTAACAGTATTTTTAAAAATGGTTTTCAATAGTAAAATCATTGCAGCCAAAGGTAAAAAAAAAATCCACATACAATAATAGCGAGGAAATGCATTTTTGGAGCAACAGTGAGCTACCAGTAAACACGTCATACAGTGATCTTCAAGGCACAAAGCAAAAAAACTAGGTATGGGTTTTTTTGCAGGTTGACAAATCAGGGAAGGTGAAATTTTTTTGAATATAAAATAAATACATTTTAAAAAGACGCATACAAAAGTCAGTAAGTCAGTCAAATAGCAAGGCTTTCACAGAATGCCACACTGACAGAACATTTGTGAATCCATTTCAGTCATGAAATCATGTTCACAGCTCAAATGACACAATCACTGAGGCAAGGGAACTATCACTTCAACATAATTAATGGGGAAGAAGCCAGACTCTCCATTTAACATCCCCTCATACCAATTCTCATCAATCTGATTGGTCAGAGTTATGATGTCCCCTTCCTTAAACCCAAGCTCGCCTTCATTTTCTGGCTCAAAGTCGTAGAGAGCTTGGCAGCAAGGCTGATCCATGTGCACTGAAGAACCTGCCCCAGTGACAGAAAAAACAACCATATTAATCAAGCTTCACAGCATCCCATGAAACAATGGGTCAAAAATGTAGCTCTGCTGTCCTGTTGATAGTTTTTCCATTGCTTTTACCCACTAACATCTGGTGCTTCTGCATATAGAATACAGGACTAGTTATAGTAAGTTTAAAGTGTAATTCTGTTCCTCCCTTAAGTACAGATGCTACTCCATTTTCATTCCTAGCTGCCTTCCCTTTGCAAAGGATGTTTATCTCAAACTGAAGGTTTGAGTAATCAGTTGTCAAAACCAGTGTGGTCCCTGGAGCAGCTGCCACAGAGGGATCGGAAGGGCAGGAGCTGAGGAAGCAGAACAGTCAACAGGGGAAATGACAAGGAATCATTTAAACAAATTGCAGAGCAGCCCAGTGCTCCTGTGTGGACACCACGAGGGCAGGGGCTCTGAGTCCCTCCTCCCTGCACACACCTGCAGCCTGCAGGCAGCCACCTGGATTGTCACACTCCTTGTGCCTTTGCAGGAGCAAGGCTTCCACCCTCACCTCACCCAAGCAGTGACAGGCACTTCTGGGCTACTGCTCCCCCAGTTCATGTGCTCAAATCCTTTGTTGTACACGTCCCTCTGAACTACAGCAAAGGCTATGCTGGGAAACAACAGTGCCTGTCAAACTATTTTAGGATGAAAACAGTTTTCCAATACAGGATCTGGCCATTCTTGTGACTTAAAGTGTTTGCCCTGCTATAAAGACCTTCATTCCAAATCACTCTTTTAAAATATTAGTGGTACCATATGCAAATGTAATAGTAAGTACATCTATTTACAGGAAAACAAGTAAATATAAATATAAAGTATAATATAAAGGATATTCTACAATATAAAGTATAAAACAGAACCACCATTAGCAAAAGAAGTTAACCTTGGAAATGCAGTTACCTTTTATAAAGATATTCTCATGAAGGGCTGTTCATTGTCTTGGATTTGTGGTAAAGATATTAATTCATATTTATGAATAATAACTTATTCTAATGAAATTTAATCTAATGTTCAAATGGTAAAGCTTAGCTCCATGGCCAAGGATAGCCAGAGGTTCAACTGAAGTTCAGTCATAACATATTTTTTAAAAACATATTAGTATATCCAAATGAAAGTCTGGTAATTTAAAATACATTTATAAAGGAAGAATAGGAGAAAAGATTTCATGCTGTTGCCACGTAAACAGCAGTGCAACACCTGGCAGCATGACACCTCTAGAACACTAGAACTTAATATTTAAGAGGTTGAACTGCTAATGTAAGTTGTTTAGGTTGTCTTATTTGGAACATTGCAACAATTTTCCAATATACCAGTCTGGACTCTCTCCCCCAGCTATCCCACATGCTAATCATGCAATCCCCTTGAGGAATCATTTTTTACTGGGTAAATCAGCATACAACTAGTAATGCAATACAGATATAGTAGCTAAGGTGGCAAAAATGCATTTTAATCTGTTAATCATGGTAATACACAGAAAACTATTAAAAAGAAACTTTTCAGCATTTTCTAGATAAAGGAATTATCTTAAGGAAACCAGCTGAAAACTATTCTGGTGATCAGTCAGTGAGAACAGACAGGTGAAATCATCTTTTTAATTGACAATAATACAATTGGGGCAGTATCTGGTGTTATAAAACTGGCAAGCAGGAATTACTTTTCTATTTTGTGGGTATGTTTTATGCTGTACAGCAACAGAAGAAAGCTTTTATTTATAAGAATGGGAGAGAATTGCCAGCAGAGATCCCGCTCGGCAAACCTCCCCAGAGCAGCACTGTCCCAGAGCCAGACTTGTCCTCTGCCTGTGGAAGGCTCAGGGTAGTTTTACAGGAACAAACTAAATTAGGGCTGGTCTAATATACTGATCCAGGGGAAAGCCTGGTTCTCCTACTTTTGCTGAAACAGTCCAAGCAGAAATCAAGAGGAGTCAGTTGCCCAGCAAAAACGGACTGTGTTTAAAACCAAAAGAGGACTGATTGTGTTAAAAATAGCTGAGCTATTTTCAGCCTTTGCCAAGGTAGAACTGGTACCAGCTCTCTGGAACTGTCAACAGCAGAAGGCAGCACTCAGAATAATTGACAGAGTTCCTCGCTTTCACCAGCTGCTCCAATGGGGCTAATTTATTATTGCAGGCCTGTTAATTTTTGACAGTAAGGTACCTGATATGAGATGGATCACATTTGGTTCATTTTAAGCTCCAAAGAACTGAAAAGATGTCTGGCAGCCTGGAAAGATTTTCAAATAATGGTCACAGCCAGCACAACCGGTTTCACTCCAGGCTGTAGGATCAGTCAAAGTCTTCATTAGAGTCAGGCAGCTGCTGCTACTGTATAATCCAATGAG